CCATGGAGGAGGCGTTGCCATGGCGACTGTTGCCGTGGCGATGGCGACTGGCACAGCAGGGCCCGAGAGCATCCCAGGGAGGTTCCCGGCCTCTCCCGGTGCTTGGAGATGGATTGATTGCCCAGGTTTCCCTCCCCCCGAGGCCAAACACTCGGCTCTGAGAGCTTTTACCATGGCAGCTGCTTTGGGATCTGTTTTGGGGCAGGTTTAGGGAGTTTAAATCCCATGAAGTGGAAGAGCCCTAAATAATAAAACAGCCTGCCCAGGGAAGGAGGGATGTACAGGGAATTTAGGAAGCTCCAAACCAGGTGCTCCCTGTCCCCTGGGATGTGTTCATAGATGAAGAGGTGTCTGTAGGAACATCCTTGTGCCACACATGGAGGGGACAGGAGGGTCCCTTCTGTGCCTTGGTTTCCACCTCTTTTAAGCCCCCAAATCCTCTGTTTCTGCAAAAGCCCTTCCATTGAGTGGAAAATGCCCTAAATGATAAAATTCCCTGACCCTCCCTGCCTGGGGAAGAAGGGATGTACAAGGAATTTAAGAAACTCCAAACCAGGCACTCACTGTCCTCCAGGATGTGTCAGAGCTGCAGAGGGTTCTGCAGGACCATCTTGGTACCCTGAAGGTGACAGGAGGGTCCCTTCTGTGCTCTGCATTTTTTAAGCCCCCAAATCCTCTGGAGATCTGCCCCTGGAGGGGCTGAGTGAGACCCTTTAGCCCACATTTACATTTCTCACCTGTAAAATGGTGTCACCAGGCTGCCAAGGGGAGAGGAGAGGGAGGGGTGACACTGTCCATGTGGGCTGGTGGCACAGACAACGGAGAGGGGCTGCAGCCTCCCTGCCCCCCTGCTCAGCTCAGATGCTGCCAGGCCAAGGGCTCCCAGCCCTCCCTGGCTTCCCAAGGCTCTGTGTGGGGTTTGGGTGGGTTTGTGCTGCTGGGGAATGCTGTGAGCCTGTCCCTTGTCCCTTGGCTGCCGCTCCCTGCCAGCCCAGCCAAGCATGGAAGGGGGCAGGGAGTGTCTGGGTGGGAATCATCACCTGCCCATCCCCCTTTTCAGGTGGAAAAGGATCCTCTGGGGTGGGGTGGGGGATGTGTTTCTTATCCTGGCTCGATGTAGTGCCCATGTTAGTGCTGAGATCCGAGCCCTTTGTGTCTGGCGCATATTTGGGGTCATTCAGAGCACAATGAGGGAGCTTTCAGTGAAACGTGACTTTCTGGCCCTGCCCTGGAGTCTGCTCTTCATCAGGGCTTGTTTTTATAGCAGCAGAGCTGTGACCTTTGGGGACCCTGGGGGAGCGGGAACGGGGCCGTTGTTTGGGGTCTGGGCGATGCCAGAGCCGGGTCCTGGCCCCCAGTGACGGCTCATGGGACACAGGGATGTGACAGGAGCAGTTCCCTGGCTGCAGGACAGTCCTGGGCACAGCCAGCTCCTCCCGGGGCGCACAGAAACCTTCCCATTCCTTGTCCAGAAGTGATGCATCCCCCCAGGGCAGCCTCATCCCGCCGCCTCCAGCAGCTCTGCCGTGATCCCGATCCCGGGTTTAATTTCCCTAATGAGGCAGCGCTGAGCTGGGGAAGGAACCCCTGCCAAGAGCTGTCAGCTGGGCAGTTGGGATTGCAGGGATGGAGCTGCTGCCCTTGGCTGGAGCTGGCTAATAAATGGCATCCTGGTGCCACCAGGGCAGGGGGTGACAGGGGGAGCACAGCCAGGGCCAGCAGCACACTGGGATTTCCTCCCTGCCCCAAGGAAATCTCTGCCTGGCCCAGCTTTGGATTGAGCACCTGGAGAAGGCTGCTGGGGGCACCTGGAATGCTGTGAGCCTGTCCCTTGTCCCAGCCATGGCAGGGGACTGATAGAGATGGGGACATGGCTGGTGTGGCACCCCCAGCCCTCGGCTGGCATGGGATCCGTGCCCTGGAAAAGGTTTTCCCTCTGGAGCAGCAGCTTCATCCCTCCCTGCCACAGGGTGGGGACAGTCCCTGCCACCATCCCGGGGATCAGGGGCTGCAGGATGGACCTGGCACATCCAAGGGTCCCTCCAGCCGTGGTCTGACCCCATGGAGCCCCCTGGGGCAGGGATAAAGTCTGGAGGAAGTTTCTCTTTTGGGACAAATCCAGGCAGCTGAGGCTTGGCTTGGGGGCTGAGATGGATTGGGAATGGGGGCTGGGATGGATTGGGAATGGGAGCTGGGATGGATTGGGAATGGGGGCTGAGATGGATTGGGAATGGGGGCTGGGATAGATTGGGAATGGGGGCTGGGATGGATTAGGAATAGGGCCTGTGATGGACTGGGAATGGGGCCTGTGATGGACTGGGAATGGGGGCTGTGATGGATGGGGAGGCAGCCCCAGGTCGGGAGGTGGGAGCTGCTGTCCTGAGTGATTTGTGGTTTCCTGGGCTGGCAAACTCTGCCTTCCCTTCCCTCCATCCCAGTCAGACAGGGGAGCAGCCTCTTGTTACCAGCAGGAGCAGCCCCTCGTCCCCGGAGGAGCAGCCCCTTATTCCTGGGGGGAAGCAACCCCAGGGGCAGCCCCTCATTCCCAGGGGAGCAGCCCCAGGAGCAGCCCCTCATTCCCAGGAGAGCAGCCCCAGGGGCAGCCCCTCATTCCCAAGGGGAGCAGCCCCTCACTCCTGGGGGGAGCAGGCCCTCATTCCCAAGGGGAGCAGCCCCTCATTCCCGGGAAGGGGGAGCCAGGCACAGCCCAGGGCACACAGAACACTAACGATCCCAGCAGCACTAAATCCAAATAAACCCCGACTGCTCCCAAGATTTATGGCATGAGCCTGACCTCAAACTGTCGGGGTTGCAGCTGGGAGTGGGTTACGTCAGCACCTTGGGAATGGACTGGGGAGGGGGCTTCTTCAGGAGCAACATCCCAGTGTCCCAAATGTCCCTGTGCACCAGAACACCTGGAGATTGTTCCCAAGTCTTTAGGCCTTTGTGGAGCTTGGCTGGGGCTGTGCTGCTGGTGGGGTCCACCCAGGTCTGGTCCTGCCTGTGGGGCTGCTGTGGGGTTTGTGCTGGTCCTGGCTGGGGCTTGTTCAGGTTTAGGGTAAGGTGGGTGGATGGATGGATGGATGATGGATGGATGGATGGATGGATGATGGATGGATGATGGATGGATGGATGGATGGATGGATGGATGGATGGATGGGGGATGGATGGATGGATGGATGGATGGATGGATGATGGATGGATGGATGATGGATGGATGGATGGATGGATGGATGGATGGATGGATGGATGATGGATGGATGATGGATGGATGGATGGGGGATGGATGGATGGATGGGGGATGGATGGATGATGGATGGATGGATGATGGATGGATGGATGGATGGATGGATGATGGATGGATGGATGATGGATGGATGATGGATGGATGGATGGGGGATGGATGGATGGATGGGGGATGGATGGATGGATGATGGATGGATGGATGGATGGATGGATGATGGATGGATGGATGGATGGAGGGATAGGTGGATGCATGGATGGATGGATGGATGATGGATGGATGGATGGATGGATGGATGGATGGATGGATGGATGGAGGGATAGGTGGATGCATGGATGCACAGATGGCTGTTGGACAGATGGGAGTTGCTGAGCCAAACTGGGATTTTCGTTTCCATTTCCTGCTCCAAGCCCAGAGCCAAGAGTCTGGAACAGCCTCATCTGGTTCCAATTTCAGGAGGAACAAAGGGAGCAGGGCCATGTGGCTCCCATCAGGGAGAGGCTTTGCGGGTCATGCAGGGAAAATCCCCCCCTCGGGAATGGGGATGGGCTGAGGAGCACCAGGCTCTCCTCATTTCTTGGGCAGCCTTGATCCTTCTGGGGTAAAAACATCAAAAGGCAAATGAGAGGGATTCCCAATGTTTCTTCTTGCACCCTCAATCATTGGCATTTTTCCATGCTTTCCCATTAGTTCTGGTGACCTGTCTCATATTTTTGGGCTGTGCAATTCCCAAATCCCTGAGGATTTGTTCTGCTGGATCACAAATTCCAGTGAGCTGCTGGTGAGGGGGTGTTGGAATCCAGGATGGCACAGCTGGGGGGCAAAGGCTGAATATTCCCAGAGGTTTGGGAAGCACATGGGGTGTTGGGGACCGGCAGGATACATCCAGTGGCTGCTGGGGAGAGCTGGAACAGATCCAGCCAGACACAGCTCAGACCCTTAAAAGCTCAACTCCGTCTGCCCTTCCTGAGCTGCTGGATTCTCCCTCCTGCTGGGAGAAGGGATGTTTGGGGACAAAACGCGAGTCAGGTCCCAAATTTCTCTGTCTGACTGTTCAAGCTCCAAGCTACAGTGAAAACAAAGAAACCTCGAGCTGTTTTCGGGAGGTAAATTGCTCCGAGAGAGACAGGGACCCTTCAAGGCCTTGATTTGAAACTGAAGCTCGAACCTGGCTCGTTACATCTTGAAACATCCGATGCGATCTCGCAGATCAAAGCCGCCTTGTTTGCCTTGTAATGAGGTGTCAAAGCGTTTCCGTGCAACGCCGACAGGAGACACTTTGATCTGCAAAACAAGATGTTTAAGAGCGCTGCTAGCGAGGGCTCCCCGTGTTTTCGCAGCTCTGGGAGGCAGGGGAATATTTGAAGTCTGGTGTTGTTTCCTCTGGAGGCTTCCCAAGCTGTGGCAGCTGATGAGGTGTTGCTGTCACACCGGAGCCAGGACTCACAGGGAAATCATCGAGCCTGAACAGCAGCCAGCTGGAGAACCAAGCCAAGCATTTTTCTTACAGCTTCCAAAATGAATTGCTGGGTTTTCCCCAAAAAAAGGCCTTTTTGTCCATGGGAAATGCTGGAGTCAGTGTGAGCTCACTCTGAGTTGTTTTGGGGGAAAACGCTGCAATTCTGGGTGGTTCAGCTGGAGGCTGTTTGTGCTGCTGCTGCCTTGTTCTGGCTTGTCCCATGCCCCCTCCCATGGGGGGTGGCTGGGGTGTCACCTGGGTGGGGCTGGAGCCACTCACGTGTCCCTCTGGCCACAGGCTCAGCGCTGGCGCAATGAGAACTACGAGCGGCCCGTGGACCTGGAGGGCTCTGGGGATGATGACCCCTTTGGAGAGGATGAGCTGGACGACATCTACTCCGGCTCTGGCTCGGGCTGTGAGTAACTGGGAATGCTCCCTGGATGGCTGGGGGGTTCCTGGGGTTCCTGGGAAGGGTTCTTGGCCAGCTTGGTCCCTGGATGGTTGGGGAGTTCCCAGGAAGGAACTGGCTGTGGGAATGAGGAGTTCCTGAGAAGGTCCTTGGCTGGCTGTGGAGTTGGGGAGTTCCTGGGGAGGACTTTGGCCAGCTGTGGGGTTGGGGGGCTCTGGAGAAGGGTGTCTGGGAGGTTGGAAGGCTGGAGAGGGGATGTGAGGGAGGGAATTGCCCTTTATCCCTCACTGGAGTTGTCCTCTGAGACAAAAGCAATAGGAGCTGTCCCGAAAGTTGGGCTCCAGTGCCTCCATGTCCCAATTCAGCCTCTGGCCCTACTGGGCAGGACTGGCCCTTCCACAGACCCCAAAAAGGGCTTTGGCCACCACACGGGCACAGCCCTTGGTTTCTGCCGAGCCTGGAACCATCCGTGCTCTCAGATTTTGGGGGTGATGCCAGGGAAATGCATCAGCAGCAGCTTCACTTCTCCCTCTTGTCCCCGTTTCAGATTTCGAGCCGGAGCCGGGGCTGGACACGGCCGTGAGCCTGACCACGGACACGCTGGTGACCCTGCCCACCACGGCGGCCGTGCTGCCCGTCACCGCTGCCCAGCCCGTGGCAACGCCCCTGGAGCCGTCCCCCACCCCCCAGGACACCACCCCCGGGCAGGCCACCAGCGCCTTCCTCATCCCCAGGACCACAGAAGCACCAGTGGTGCCCAGCTGGAAAGCCACCACCACCAGCAGCAGCAGCACCACGGCCAGCGAGCTCCCAACCGCCACGGCCACCACCACCACCACCACCATGGCCACCACCACCACCACCACGGCCACCACCACCACCACCACCACCACCACCACCACGGAGGCCACCACCACCACAAGCAGCACCACCGTGGCCACAGCCAAGCCCACCACCATCCGGAGATTCCTGCCCCCCTTGGCCACCAAGGCGGCCACCACCCGGGCCACCACCCTGGAGACCCCCACCACGCCCGTCCCCGAAACCAGCACGCCGACAGAGGTGGCCACGTCGCGCCTTGTCCCCACCAGCACGGCCAAGCCCAGGGCCCTGCCAAAGCCCAGCACCTCGAGGACTGCAGAGCTCCCCGAGAAAAGCACGGCTTTGCCACCCACGGCCACCACGCTGCTGCCCACAGAGGCCCCCCAGGTAGGAGGCCAGAGCCCTTCTCACCTGCTCAGGGCTCCTGGGCTCCCTGGAAGCCAAGTGGTGGCCACGAGAGGCCTTTGGAGTCCGTCCATCCTTGGCACTTGCTCTGAGGGAGGTGGAGGCAGGCTGGGCTCTTCCAGAGCTGAAGGAGGTGAAGGGGGAGCTCAGCCCGGGCAGGGGTTCAGGCTCCTGGGGCACCCGGGATGTGCCACCCACCCCGGTGACCCCGCTCTGCCCTCTGCAGAGCGGCTTCCCCAGGCAGGAGGGCAGCGGTGCCACATCCCACGGGGACACGGCGACTGTCCTCGGGCTTTGGTGTCATGTCCCAGCTCCCGCCCCTCGCCGGGAGTCCCAAACTCTCCTCAATTACCGCTTGATGGTGCATTTCCAGCCCATCGGGTGTCCTGAGCAGGAATTTCAGCTCCATCTCGCATTCAGAGCCCCTCAGGGGCCCTTTGCAGCCGCTTTGACTGAAAGGTGGAGTGATTTGTCTAAACTACTCTCTCTTTTCCGCCTGCAAATGCGTGCTCGGAGCGCTCGGGGCTCTCGCTGACCTTCAATTAATCCCTGTCACAAACGCGGCCGCTCGCTCGTGGGAAGCGCTGAGCCGTGCGCTGGCCCCGGGGCAGCGGGACATGGAGAGGGCTCCCACCCCCGCCCCAGACAGCTCCCGGCTCGTCCCGAATCCTGGCTCGTCCCGGATCCTGCTCTGTGCCCGAGGCAGGCGGGACGGAGCCGTTTGCCCCAGCAGGGAGGGGTCCGGGGGAGGTTTGGCTCGGGGATGCTCCAGTTTGGTGGATGCCGATGGGGGAAGGTCCGGGGATTTGGTCCCGAGGGATGTGCAGGAGGCAGTGAATGGATCAGGGGTGGGATGGAGGGGGTGGCATGGATCAATCACATTCCCAGGCAACCCCTGAGGCCGGGACCTCCTCCTTGCCAAGGGAATTGGGCAGGGACAGCAGGGAGCTGGGCTGGGTGACAGCCCTGTGGCCTGGGTGACAGCCCTGTGGCCTGGGTGACAGGGGCCCATCCTCCTGCTCCCGCTCTGTGCAGCAGGAGGGGGGGAAAGGAAGGGGGAAGGGCCCCTGGAGCTCATCCAGCAGCATCCAATCCTTCCTCTTGCCATGCTGGTGTGGCATGGAGGTTGTGTCACCTCCTGTTGGGAGTGAGTCACCTTCCAGCGGTGACATCCAACCTGTGCTCTGGGGACAGAGCCCAGCACAGGGTCTGGGATGGGATACTGGGGAGAAATCCTTCCCTGTAAGGGTACAGGGTCTGGAATGGGGTTTTTTTAGCAGAAACTACAGGGGACAGGTCCTGGGATGGGGACAGAGAATGGCCCAGCTCAGCCATGGTGGCCTCAGCCATTTGGTGACCAAGTCATGGGGTTGTGTTGTCACTGCAGTACAGATTCAGTGACACAGGGAAGGGACACCCCAATGTCATCCCCATGTCCCCCACCCTGTCCTTGGTCTGATGACGTCCTCCTGCTGGACACCCTTGGGACTCTTGTCCTTTCTCCCAGATGGAGCCAGGGGAGGTGACAGCAGCCCCCGACAAGGAGCCAGAGGTGCCGGCCAGCAGCGGCCCCAGCGGGGACTTCGAGATCCGGGAGGAGGAGGAGACGACTCGTCCCGACCTTGGGAACGAGGTGGTGGCTGTGGTGACACCACCAGCAGGGCCAGGGCCTGGCAGGAAAGTGGAGACGGGGCTGATGGACAACACGATAGACTCGGGCAACTCGGCTGCTCAGCTGCCCCAGAAAAACATCCTGGAGAGGAAAGAGGTGTTGATAGGTGAGATATGGGACTGGGGGTTTGGAGGTGACACTGAGGACCAGAGGGGTGGCACTGATGGCCGTGGATGGCAGTGACAACCAGGGGTGGCATTTATAGCCGGGAGGGGTCACTGATGGCTGGAGATGACCCTGAGAGGCAGTGGTGGCACTGATGGGCACAGGGGTGGCACTGATGGATGGGGGGGTTGCACTGACAGCCGTGGGTGGCACTGATGGTCACAGGTGGCACTGATTGCCATGAGTGGCACTGACAGCTGTGGGTGGCACTGACAGCTGTGGGTGGCACTAACATCTATGGCTGGCACTGATGGCCATGGGTGGTACTGACAGCTGTGGGTGGCACTGACAGCCGTGGGTGGTACTGATTGCCGTGGGTGGCACTGACAGCCGTGGGTGGTACTGACAGCTGTGGGTGGCACTGACAGCCGTGGGTGGCACTGACAGCTGTGGGTGGCACTGACAGCCGTGGGTGGCACTGACAGCCGTGTCCCTGTGCGTTGTTGCAGCGGTGATCGTGGGTGGCGTGGTGGGCGCCCTTTTTGCCGCCTTCCTGGTGATGCTGCTCATCTACCGCATGAAGAAGAAGGACGAGGGCAGCTACACCCTGGAGGAGCCCAAGCAGGCCAACGTCACCTACCAGAAGCCCGACAAGCAGGAGGAGTTCTACGCGTAGACGGAGAGCCCGGAGTGCCTCACGCTTCCTCCCTCCCTCCCTGCTCCAAACCCTCCCCCTCCTCTCCTCCATCCAGTCTCTCTCTCCCCTCCCTCCTCTCTCTCTTTTTTTGGGATCAGACTGTGAATTTTTAAAAGCAAAACCCACAGCGGCTGAAGGAGGAAACGCATCCTTGGCATGGGGGGCACGGGGTGCCCGGAACAGCACCACAGTCACACCGAGCACCCCAAGGTGACACCAAGCACCGCTGAGGTGACACCGGGCATTGCTGTGGTCACACTGAGCAGCACCACGGTCACGCCGAGCACCCCAAGGTGACACCGAGCACCGCTGAGGTGACACCAAGCACCGCTGAGGTGACACCGAGCACTGCTGTGGTCACACAGAGTGTGCCCAAGTCACACTGAGCAGTGCCAAGGTGACACCAAGCAGCACCATGGTCACACGGAGCAGCGCTGAGGTGACACCAAGTACCCCAAGGTGACACCGAGCAGTCACATGGAGTGTGCCCAGGTTACATTGAGCAGTGCCCATGTCACATCAAGCAGTGCTGCCGTCACACCGAGTGGCACCGAGGTGACACCAAGCAGTGCTGCGGTCACACCAAACTCCGCCAAGGTCACACCAAGCAGCACTGAGGTCACACTGAGCTCCACCAAGGTCACACCAAGCAGTGCTGAGGTGACACTGAGCAGTGCCATGGTCACACCGAGCAGTGCTGTGGCCACACTGAGCAGTGCCATGGTCACACCGAGCAGTGCCGTGGCCACACTGAGCACCCTGCGGTGACACCAAGCAGCACCGTGGTGACACTGAGCAGCACTGAGGTCACACTGAGCAGTGCCATGGTCACACTGAGTGCGCCCGGGTCACACTGAGAAGCGCTGTGGTCACAACGAGCACCCTGAGGTGACGCCGAGCACCCTGAGGTGACGCTGAGTGCGCCGCGGTCACAGCGAGCACCGCCTGGGTGACACCGAGCACCGCTGGCCTTTCTGCTGGCGGGAGGGACGGGACATGGAGCCGATGCCAAGGAGCCGATGCCAGGGCAGCCGTGCCCGGGAATGCCCTGGAGAGCACAGGATGGGCTGCCCATAGTGCCTGGAGCTCAACTGGACTTTTCCCACCACCACCACCACGAACTCTGGGATTCAGACACCTCCTGCCAGCCCTGGGGTGCAGGGGGTTTGCTTTGGATTTATTGCCCTTTTTTTTCCGTCCATAAAGGAAGGAGATTTCCTTCCTTCTGTCTCGTCTTTATTTTTTGGTTTTCCTTTGGAATGGGGTTGGTCGCTCTGCAGGAATCTCCTTCTGCTGGAAGAGAGAATGTGACTCTCCAATGCTCCTGGAACCTTGGGAAAAGCACAAGGGGCTGGAATACCTGGGATTTGCTCCTGGAGTGGGGAGAAAAGGAAATAAATACAAACCCTGGGAATTATCCCTTGGATCAACATTCTGGAGAGCTTGTGGAGCTGCACTGGGGCATCCCAGGCTGCTGCCATCCAACCACCCCTGGAATCTCTTGGATCCACATCTGGCTGAGGGGTTTGGCCAGGAAAGGACTTGGCTTGGGCTGGGTTTTCACTGTGACCACTAAAGCTTGGCTTTGCTGGACAGTCCTTTGGGAGGAGCTGGGACTGGAGATGCTGAATCCTGTGCCTGGCTCTTCCAGAGGGGGTAACAGCCCTGCAGAGCATGGGATGCAGCCTAAGAGAGGAAATCCAAGCAGGGACCATCCCTGTCCCCTCAGGGTCCCACCGAGGTGAGGAAGGGGAGGCAGAACCACGGCTCAGCCCCAGGGCTGGCTGGTTGGATCATTGGAAAGATCCCCAAATCCATGGAAACACCCAGGATTGATGGTTTTCTTTTGTTTTTTGATTCCCCAGGATTGATGGTTTCCCTTCACTGGTGTTTAAATCCCAGCACAACCCACAGGGCTGGAGAGAACCCAACCCTGGTGCCCCCCAGGTGTCCCCTCCGAGGCTGCCCATGGTGCAGATTAATTAATTAAGATATTTCAATTAAGGTGGTTCAATGAGGTGGCTCTTAATTAGCTGGAGCCCTGTTTGTGGGCTTTTGTTGTCACAATGGTCATGATCTCGATGGGGTCCCATGGAGACTTTTGATTTGCTCTTGGAACAATTTAAATGGGAAAATCTGGGGGAAAAATCGTTGCTTTGTGAATTAACAGAGTCAGGGACACTTTGGCCCCTGAGAGGGTTGGGGGATTTAGGGTTTCATGGCCCTGGTGGGGGTTACAGGACAGAAGAGCTTCATTGTGGAAGGGATTTGAGGCCAGAAGAATATTCTGAATATATATAAATACATATCTCCACTCCTGTACACCCACAGTAACACAGGTGTGGAAGGAAATGAAATCCCTGGAATCTCTCAGTGCACTGGGATGCTTGGGTGGGGTTTGGAGTTGGGAAGTTGGGAGCTTTGGGCTGCTTTTCCCTGGGATACAACCCAAAATGACAACCTGGCTTTACTTCAGGATAGGGAACAGAGCCCCACACGTGGGTCAGCTCTAAATCCTCATTTTTGAGCTGTCAGCCTCAAAATCCTCGTGGTTTGGGTTCTTGGAGCTTGGAGAAGGCCCTGTTGGACGTTTGGGGTGGTGGTGCTGGGAGTGACCATTTCTGTGTCCATCCCATTGGGAGGATGAGGATGAGGATAAGGATGAAGGATGAGGATGCCCCAAAGGAGGGAACACACTCAGAAGGAGCCTGGTGCCAACCCAGAGCCACTTTGTGCTGCTCCAAGGGGAGTTTGGACTCCTGGATTTGATGATTTGGAGGATTTTGGCCCTGTTGGGATCACACAAAGGGGAGTGGCACAAGTCAAGGTCACCAAGGTCACCCAAAATCCCCATCTTTTGGGAAAACCTGGATTTAATCTTTGGAGCTTGCTTAAAAAAAAATAAAAATCCCTCCCAGCTTAATCTTTTTAATGCTGCTTTTCAGAGATGCCTCCTTAATCTTCTTCATTCCATTTTTTCCTCCTATTTAATAGTCTGAAGTTCCATAATACAATTTTTTTACTCACTCAAGCTTAACCTCGTCCCTCTCAGCTGGTGTTAGGTTGTAATCCCGGCACTTAAATCCATCACAGCTTCGGGAGTGAGGGAAGCTGGAGGTGGGAGGGTGAGAGGAGCCTGGGCAGGGCTTCTGCAGTAATTAAAATATGAGATAAACACAACAAAAAAAGGTGAAGGCAACTAAACTGCTAATCAGAGGTGATGAAACAATTCATTATCTCCTGCTTCCACACTTTTGTTCTCCACCAGGAGAGGGATGTGAGCTCCAGGAGAGTTTTTTGTTTCAGAGCCAACTTTTTGTGCTTGTGCAGTGATGTCGCAGCCTCTGGTGTCACCTCAGCTCCATGGGGGCTGTTGGAGTCGATGTCTGAAGGGAACAAAAAAGCCTTGTTCTGGAGAATGTGAGCCTGTCCTCCCTCCAAGGAGTCGGGATGGAGCTGAATATGGGCAGGAATTTTTGGGGAAGTCCATCTCCCCCAAAAATCGTGGATAAAGTCATTTCTCCATGAGCAGAGCCACAGGGAGGGATAGAACCCCGAGGGCTGGTGCCCTCCTGCAGCCACTCCTGCTCCGGGGCTTTCCAGGGATTCCTGGTGGGAACAGAGATGGGGGAGAGGAGAGGAGGCTCCACACAGGAGGAGCCATCCCCAGAGCCGATTTTTGGGAAAATGAACTCGAGTGGAAACGTCTGCAGCATCTTCCCTTCCCAAAGCTGAGTCTGGCACCCTCCCCCTGCCCAAATTCCCATCCCTCACACTGATCCCAGCCAGGAGCAGCTGAAGCAGTGCCCAGATGTGCTGGTCCTTCCAGCTGTGCTCCCTGAGGGATTTTTCCATGGCTTTTCCATTTCTTTTCTGCCTGTTTCTGTGTGTGTGTGATGTGCTGGAGCCACAGGGAGAACCTTGGCTGTTCCAGCTGGATAATTTTAGGAGTTTCTGGAGTTGCAGGGTGGTGTGGGCTGCTCTGCCAGCTGTGCCAGCCTTGGGGCTCTCCCTGCTGGAATTGCAGCAGGAGAATGATGGAGAGTATCCAGCAGAACAGCCAGGAACTCCCAGGCCACATCCAAAGGGAAGGGAAGAGCAGAGAGCCCAACCCAGGGCTGGAATGGGGAGTTTGGGAAGGGCAGGACATGGAAGGGGCCCAGCAGCAGCAGGACCTGGCCCTGGGTGGGTTTTGAAGGGTGGGATTTGTCCCTTTACTCCAAAAATCTCTCTGATCTTGGATCTTTCCATGAAAAGCACCAGGTGCCTGCTGGGATGGAGCTGTCCCTTAGCTCCAAAAACCTCTCTGATTTTGGACATTTCCAGAATGAGCTGTGCTGGGGGGATCCAGCTGCAGGGAAAGGGATGGGACAGGGATGCCTTGGGCTGGGTGACTGCCAGGATGGGCTGGGCTGCCTCAAATTCCCCCTCTCCCTCCCCCATTCCCCAACAATCCCTGTCTGGGAGTTCCTCTGCCCCAGCTCCAGCATTCCGAGCTCTCTGTGCTGTGAATCCCCAGCTCAGTTCCTTCCACAGGAACAAACCCACCAGCCAAGAACTGGAATGGATTTTTTAATTCCCTTTTCCTCCCATAACCACCCTTGTCATGATCTTTTCCGTGCTCCAAGGTTTTCTGCCAGGCTCTGAAGTAACTCTGAGCTTTCAATGCAGAAAGGTTTGGTGGGAATGAGCTCCCTGGGGTGCCAGGAGCAGGGCTGGGGGTGTCTGTGTGTGTATATAATGTGTGTATGTAATTAATGTATATGTAGAGATGTATAGATGGGCACGGGGGGCTCTGCTCCTGAGGGGCAAAAGAAGGAGGAAAAAGAGGAAAAGGAGGAGGAAAAGAGGAAAAGGAGGAGAATTTGTCCTCCAGCACCACATGCTGGGCTCTGCAGCCCTTGGCCCCTGTCCCAAGGAATGTGGGATTCAGCCTCATTCCCTGTCCCAAGGGATGCAGGAGTCCCTGCCAAAGGGATGCGGGATTTCCTGTCCCAAGGAATTCGGGACTCAGCCTTGGCCCTGCTCCCAAGGGATGTGGGATTTTCTCTCCCAAGGAATGTGGGATTCAGCTTCGACCCCTATCCTAAAGGATTTGGGATTCCCCCTCTTTCCCTGTCCCAAGGGATGTAGGATTCAGACTTGGCCCCACTCCCAAGGGATGCAGGATTCCCTGTCCTAAACAATGCAGGATTTCCACCATTCCCTGTCCCAAGGGATGCAGGATTCCCTGCCCAAGGGATATGGAATTTCCTGTCCCAAGGAATGTGGGATTCAGCCTCAACCCTTGTC